TATATATATATATAAATGGATAAATAAATAAAATTATATGCCTCTAAGGAAAATCCTGCAATACCTTAGTATAACAGTCAGATTTAAAAATGGAGTTTCAATCCTAACTTAAGCAGAAAAAAATATTTTGAATCAATACCTATAGCAATATATTACTTAAAGCTTTTTTTGGGGGGGATAGGGGGTCTGGAACAGTATGACAACTATTTACTGTATTAAATTTAGTAAATCAGTTGGAACAGTCAAAGCCAATTTCCAAAATCTGCAGTCCCATTTTTGTGTCCTAACCCAATTGGGGAGCTTTGCAAAGTTTAGCCCCATTTTTAAAGCCTCCTTTAATCATCCCCTTCTTTCCCCTCAAACATGATATGGGAACAGCCTGAGAGGCTGTATGATAAGGCGACCTTTAAACATTTGCTGGATCAGCACTGGGTGGGGATAAGGAAAGATCAAGGACAAACAGTAAGATATTTACAAAAGGGGACACAGTCAATATAGAAAAGCTAATGGGAAGTTAAAAGGGACACTAAAATAATTTATGAATCCATCTTTCATCTCTGCTCCCCCATGTCCTTTAGGAAATAATGATCCTCAAAAACACTTAGCAGAAACTACCAATTCTGGTAAGCCCCTTTGTATAAGCAATTGTATAAACCAAACACCTTGAACACTGAAAATAGTTTTTTATTTTAAAGAGGATGACATTTCTAAGGTATCTAAGCATGTTCATTATGCTAATAGCAATAGCAGTGGGGGTTAAAAGCAAGAGCCTTAAGCAGTATGTGGGAAGTTACATAACCAAGCAGTTGGGTCTCATTAGATTTCTGCTCACAGCCCTAGGAGCTCCAACAACAGCAGCAAGAGAAGGAAGAGTATTTACTGAGCACACAAGAGACAAAATAAAGGGGAAGAGGCATGACTGGCCAGAAAAGGGATAACCCAAGTTCTCTCTTAGGCACCAGCAAGGCCAGTATCATTCTTCTGTACCCCATTCCCAGTGGCATCCCTCAATGTTTTCTTGATTAGGCAGAGCCCTAGAGGACAGGACTATTACCGCTGGTTAAAAGGCCCAGCAGGAGGGAACACATTATAACTCATTCCTAGAGTCTAAACCATAATGTGTACAAAGAACTGCTCTGGGAGGGTCCCCATAGCTGTGCTACTGACTAAAGCACCTCCTTCCCAGCTGGAGTTGTCAGGCCCTACCCACGCTCTTTTTGCTCCATTCCCCTTCCTTCCCAACAGGGCTGTGCCACCTCCTCCCCCATAGGGCTGTTCCAATCTCACACCCCACACTCCAGTTGTGTTACTCCCTCTGGGCTATGCCAACCCCCCCCATCCCCACCAGCAGACCTCCACCTGGACTGTGCCAATCCCCACACCCCCAACTCTACTCTCTTTCCCCCAATTCCACACCACTGTTCTCTGAGCTGTGCCAACTTCCTGCCCTGCTCCACTCCCCTCCCCTCCCCTCCCCCCAGGGCTGTGCCAACCTTTTGCTCCACTGACCACTCCCCCCAATTGCACTCCCCTACCCTCCTGCCCCTGAATGTGAAAACCCTCACTATACTGAGTGTGCTCCTGCCCCAGCCCAGGGCTGAGCCAACCACCCAAACTGTGCTAACCTCCCCCTACTCTCCACTGCTCTTCCTCCCACTCCCCTCCCCTCCCCTCCCCCCAGGGCTGTGCCAACCTTTTGCTCCACTGACCACTCCCCCCAATTGCACTCCCCTACCCTCCTGCCCCTGAATGTGAAAACCCTCACTATACTGAGTGTGCTCCTGCCCCAGCCCAGGGCTGAGCCAACCACCCAAACTGTGCTAACCTCCCCCTACTCTCCACTGCTCTTCCTCCATACTAGGCTGCGCCAACCCTCCCCTCCACACCCCACAGCCCTTCCTCCACCCAAGGCTGTGGCAACCCCTCCA